TGGGTATGGGTGTGGGTGTGGAGGGGTGGATGGTAGCAGTGACTCCTGAAGGCATGGGGCCAGTAGGTGGTTAGCTTAATTGTCAAGATCCTGCTGTGTGATGTGTCCAGAGCAGAGAGCAGGGGAGTGTGTGTGAGAGTGTGTCAGCCCTCAACACTTCATACTGTCCTCAGACACTTTGCTAATATGGTTTGTAGGTCAGAGTGTGTAAGCAGTTTCTAGAACCCAGCTGTGCACAGAGGTATTACAGTGCAGTATGGACATGGCTGTTCAGAGCACTATAGAGTGTAGAAACTTTAGTTGCCATATAAGCACCTAAAGGTTTTGTTCTCAATCAAATAACTTTGCACCTGAACCAAAACTGGCTTGAACCCAAATCCCACAGATTACCACTGCCCCCACAGTTAACACAGAAACATCAGCTCAAGGTTTAAAACATGCATCTCTGTAATTTCACTGCCTGTCTCCATGTTGCCGAGTGACCATGTGGCTGAAGAGTACACAACTGCTGAAATGTGTCCCCATACAAGCAAGCAGATTGGCCATCAGAACAGACCCTTAATTAGTCACCACACATTTCTCATACGAGGCCATGTAATTCAACCTGACTCACAAACAGGCTGAGTCCAGAAGGTCACTGCTGGTGGTTGGTCCAACCACGTTTTCCTGGCCGGGGCCTAATCCAAGCTTTAGCTGTGGGTCATTACGTCCTGGGCTGTAGTCTTGTGGAGAAGATTGGTTCAGAATCAATCAGCTCAGCTTGCTAGGCTGACCGCAGGGCAGTGAGCCCGGCCCAGCGCTCTTCAACAGGATCAGAATGGATTAACTGGCACACTTTTAATTGGGAAGGCTCTTTTTAAAGGCCTGGGTTGATTTCATTGGTGGAGAGTTGTATATCCCCATATGTGGACGAGAGGGGCCATGTGGTCTAGATGCTGATAGAGTAGAATTAGCTGATGGGGTTGCATGAAGTGTTTATTGTGGGTTGATAGAGAACCTAAATAAAACACATCCAGTATGTGGGCTGCAGTATTAGCGCTTGTGTTCATAAATTTTAAATGAATGCAACAGAGTCAGCACAGAATGCTCATATAGAAACACTTGTACACACAAATGTTCAAGGTATTGATAGGAAGAGATACCTGAGGAAGTACTGTGGTGCCCCCTTTGGCCGCAGTGTGAACATAGACATATTGCTCTGTGAGGATGCTGTCTGCCACTATGAAAAAAAATCCCCTTCAAATAGCCCTCAGAGTCCTGGAAAAAAGGTGACTGCATTCGCTTAACTCTGTTCCCCGGCCTATTGATTTACTGAGCCATTCCCCAACTGTCTGTCAAACAGTGGAGGCTGTTTTCTCCTCAAAAGGAGATCGGCCATTTTTCTTCCATTTAATTAAAAAGGAGATGCGAGGTCCTGTAGTACGGTTGAGATAGCCCTTTAAGTCCTGACAGTGTCATTATAGCTTAAATAGCCATCTGCTGCAGCTATACACACACAGTTACAGTTAGACACACACACACATATATATACATGCACACACTGGCTCATTTTGACACTGACCTGACCGGACTATTGTTTTTTTTTTTTTGCCTTTTCCTAATCTATACATTTAATACATGTTTAGTCATAATTATAAAGAACAATTGTTAATTTTGTTCTTCCCTTTGCCTCTTAAATGCGCCTAACAAGAATAGAATAGATAATTAGAATGAATGTTTGCTTCAGAAGCATATGAACTGAATACAGTGGTGTATTTCTTAATGAATTCAATAAAAAAAAACTTAATTGAATAACAAATAACATCACTGTATTCATGTTAATACACTGTGGTTTTTTATCAGAGTCAACATGGATGAAAACCTACATGATTAGATGCTTTTTATGAACTCAATATCAGAGATGCTCTTTAAATCTGGTATATTTAGCTGTAGCATGTGTTTCTCTTAAACAAGAGTCTAGACAACATAAGACACATGAAAACTTTGATTAATGACTGGCTAGCACATCAAAGGAAAGGCATCTGCACCGTTCAGGAGTGTCTCGCTCCGCGTTCAAATGAGCAGCATTTGATGTTTGACACACAGGATGAAGGAGGGAGGGGCAGGGCTCATCCATTTTTGGCTGTGAAGGGAAAACTCACACTGTTTGGTACTGATTATTATGAGGATTAACAGTCCAAGTCAGAACAAGTATGATGAAAGAAAATGTTTTTACCCCAGTTATACAAGGTAACCAGGGTTTCACCAAGCCACTGGTGTTTTTGTTATGCTTGCTGTGAAATCAATTCTAAAAAGGTATATTATAACAGTTCTTTAATATTCAGCGTGCATGAACTGTTTTGAGAAGTGTTAGATTTTTCTCATCTCATAGTTTATCAGACTAGTCTAGTGTCAGTCATGATGTCATAAACACACAGTTCAGATGCATGCAATTCTCCTGTTTCAGTCTGTTAACAAAATCAAAAACACAGTATAGTATACTACTGAATTCTTTAAAAGTGTTATGATTTACCTTTCTGTGCTGTCAGAACCGTAAAGAAAAAAACACAGTCGTACACGTCCTTAAATCACGGATATGGAACCTTTTCTGAACAGCGGCCAGAGTGGCTAAAAGTGACAAGATAATAGACCTTTTTTCAATAAAGACTTTTTGACAGAAAGCAGTATGAATAGTTGTACATAATGAGATGTAAATAATGATGGCTTGCTGGCTCACTGTCACACTGTCATTTACTGGCACACACAGAGCCTCTTGTAATGTTATTTGTAACACCTGTGCTTTCCCTTCTACCTGAAATGTCTGCTGTGCAAGCCTCTTAATGTACTGAATAGAGCAAGGGTGTGTTTTTGTTACTTATGAATTCAACTGTTCATTTGTAAAAGGAAGATGCTGTATTTCTTCTACCAAAAGTTACACAGTCGCCCTTTAATTGAAAGCAGAGTTCAGAGCAAATACATCAAGCTAACAACCACAGAAACAGATTAGATAAGTTATCAAACTTCACACAGTGTTTTCTTATCTTTAACTTATACAAGAACACACTCTTTGTCTTGCCCATAGCATATTGTCTTCTCCTCTCATCAGATCTCAGCTTCACTAAACTCAGTTAGGACAGAATTGGTCTCAAATTTAGGAACGGCAGCATCAACAAAAACTCCTCTGGCTCAAGTCTTTGGCACGAGCCCCAAGCCTTATTGTCTTGTTGAAATATGGTGGCCTGTAATTGACTCACACGTTAAGGTGACATTCTCACAATAGTCACAAGTTATCTTGCTAATTAGAGCAGAGATCCAACAGAAATGTGTTGTGCAGTGGCAATGTATCACAAGGCAAAATACTTGGCGCTGCCCAGTCTTTTGCTGTTTTGGCTTGAACAGTGTGTTCAGAGACTCATAGCTGAGCTGAGTTGTGTTGTAAGGCTGATCAGCTGACCTATCGTTCAGCAGGCTTCAGAGTTGTAGGGAAGTGGTGGTGGTGTGGATTGGGATTTAATTTGAATTCCAGTTGATGCTTGTTAGAAAACAAAGTTCAGAACTGCAAGTGAGCCAAAAATCTGACAGTCACTGGTACCGGTAAATAATCCCATAAAACCCTGGAGATATACTGTGATCATTTTATGCTATGGGACTGTGAAAATCTGTCTTTTATCCACCTATTTTTTTTACAGATTTTAATTTTCAAGTTTTCAAAATGAAAGTCTGTCTTGCTGTGATGCATCACATGTGTCCATGCAATATACTGTATGTCTCTGGGTCCAGGCTGTGAGTTGGTCTCTGGCAGCACCTAGTGGCTGCAGGTGAACACACACATTCATATACTTGGCATACTCTACACGCACACACACACACACA